CTCAGTGGTAGAGCCCCTGTCTAGAATCCCCCAGTGAGGGGCTGGGGTGTGGCTCAGTGATAGAGTGATTGCCTGGCATTCAGGCTCTGGGTTCCATCTCTAGCACTTCAGAAAGTGTCTGGAAGTGCCTAGCATGTGACAGTCCTGTGGAAAGAGGCTCACCTGCCCTGGATCCTGGGTGGGGTCTCTGGACCTATCTCAGGCCTGTTCTGGGTCTGTATGGGCCATCCCACTGTGGGTACTGTTAAGATGTCACGCATCCATGCTGAGGGAATGCTGGAAATAGAAATCCTGACTAAACGAACAGGAACTACAGAAATAAGCATAACCAACCGATTGCAAGAGATGGAACAGAGAATCTCTGACACTGAAGATACAATAGAGAAAATAGATTTGTCAGTCAAAGAAAACACTAAAGACAGATGTCACGCATCCTCTTCTAGTCCTGTGTGCCATCTGACCCTCCTGATGACTTAGCAGACATGGCTTCAGGCTGCTTTCTTTTTGGAGTTGAGCCGTGGACACTGGGGGCTGATCATGTGTCTGGGATACTCCAGAAGTACACAGCTGTCCGAGGCTGAGATCTATGAACCTCATGCTCCCCTACTGCCCCATCCATGTTTTCCCATCCGGGACTTCCCAAGACTGCACACGCCATGGAAGCCGTTCCCGCCTGCTTAGGAATGACACACAGGCCCGGGATCATGGCTGTTGCACCCTTGCCTCTCAGATACTGATGCCACTGTCATTTCCAGCAATGTTTCCACATCCCATTTCTGGAAACGTTCACCTGGATCTGTTTGTGTGTTTATCTGTCATCCTCGGGAGGAGTTTCTGGAACCTGGCACTGTGCCTGGGTCCTTAGTAACTCTGCCAGAGTTGTGGATGGCCTTGGGTTGTGCATCTCCTCTTGGCTGGAGTGGTTACTCCCAGGGGAGTTGCTACAGTGCCAAAGGTGCCCACCTGAGTCCTGTCCTCTCCCCCAGAGTGTTGTAGCCCACCGGGTTTCCTAGTGGCTGTACCTAGAAGGAATGCATAAGAGGTTGATTGGACCGTGGGCCTGAGTATTAGGTGTTTGTGAGGGTCTACACTTGAGTGTAACTAGCAAGGGGGAGGTCTTTTGCTCCACCCCCTGGCATTGTTATAAATAGACCTCTGGAATACAGTTCTGGGCCAGTGGATAAGGACCCAGGCCCACCCGAGTCTGTCTTGTGTTTCTCTCTGTTTCTCTCTCCTCTCTCTTTCTAACCAAGTCTCTTATCCCTCATTCCTCCAGAGTCCTGGGGTAAATAAGTGTGGGGGCTGGTCCCCCACACCAGAGACACTACTCAGTGTATGAGGACAGACTGTTATCCTTGCTAACAAGGCTGAAGGCCAGAGTCAGCTCTGTCCATGGCCTCAAGGGCTGGCGGGCTTTGCAGGGCCTGGGATCCCCCCACTCTATCCACTTCTGCTGCAGGAGGGAAAGTGGGGTCTCTGACTCTTGACTGCTTTTGTGTTTCTGGAACCCAGCACCAGAGATGAACCCCAGGGTCTCCCTCAGGCCAAGTGGAAGAAAGGACTGAGCGGACAGCAGGAAGTACTATGTCTTGACATCAGGGAGACATCAAAGGGCCAGCCTTCTAGGAAGAGGGTACTGGGCAGGAGGCCTGGTAGGTAGGTGTGTCGGCTTGCTGGGAGCAGGGCCAGTGGCATCCTTGACCTGTGGGAAGCTCCTTCAGTCATGGCGGCCCTCTGCTCTGAGAACGGAGGCCAGGCCTAGTCATATGCCTGCTGTCTTCACGGCAGTCCTGCCCCTGTGTGGTCACGCTTAGCTACCATCTCAGAAAGGCCTCGGAAGGTCCACCTCAGCTCATCCCAGGCCTTGAAGGCTCCTCAGAAACCCAGGAAGAGTTGTGAGGCCCCCCACCATCTCTACTCCACTTCATGAGGTCATTTCCAGAAGTGGCCTCAGCCCCCAGCCCTTTATCTTGCCTGTGACCATGGACCCTTTTGCCTCTCTAGGCCTCAGTTTGCCCACATGTAAAGTGGGTTTAGTCAGGAACTGGGCTATCCTGTTAGCACAGGCTTCTTTCTTGTCTTCTCCATCCAGCCAGGGCAATGTGGAGACATTTCTGATTATCAGGCCTGGCAAACATTCTGGAATTCTGGGTGTGCCCCACCATGACCATCTGGGTGTGTCTGAGCCTCAGTGTTTCCACCTGCAAGGTGGGACAGCAGTGACTGCCTCTGGGCTGCTAGGAAGAAAAGGTGAGATACAATCTGACCCACCTTCTGGGAGAAACACAGAAGCCCCACCCATTCCTGAGCCTCCAGATCACACCCCCATCTCGGCAGGCTCTGCCTCCTGCTGGACACCTATGGTCACTGCGGCATCTTTCCCGTGGGAGCCTAGCTGGGAGGGTTCTCTCTCAAGGTGGAAGGGGTCAGGTAGCCATCTCAATAATGGGCTTTAATAGAGGCGATGGCACCCTTCTGGGTGGTGGAGCCCCCTTTCTGGCTCCCAACCGGAGCAGGTGGAGTGGGGTGGAGATAGGTCTCTGCTGGGTGCTCCGTGAGGCTTTGGCACACATGTCCTTGTCACGGCTAAGGCTGGGGACCATCTTTGTTGCCTGGCTCCGGGACAAGGAAAGGGCTTGCCAAATGACTGGCCTGGAGAGGGGGTCCACACTCTCCCCAGAGGACCACATTCCAGGAGCTGAAAAAGGAGGGGGAGGGGCTGTGCTGTGTGCCAGGTTCAGATACCTCCAGGGTGCTGTAGCTGGAGAAGTGTGTGTGTGTGTGTGTGTGTGTGTGTGTGTGTGTGTGTGTGTGTCCTCAGGAGAGGCTGGCCTCTTGTCCCTGCTCTTTTACAGGCTGTGGAGTGAGCCCTCACCAGAGGCCAGTATCACAGGCCACACTCACAGAGGGCTGGACCCTGGCCGCACCCATATCAGGATAGCCCAAACGGGGCAGCGGGACCTTTGATCACTGTTCCCTGTGACCAGGACACCAGAATCCTGGCCAGTCCAGAAAGCTGTACTGAGAGAGCTGGGGAGGTAGGAGAGCCACTCAGCCTGTCCCATGTCCTCCACCTATTTGCACGCTGAAGCTCCCACGCTTGGCTTCAGGCTGCTCTGAGACAAGTCTCTAGATGGCTATCTAGTCTCTCTGGAGTAGGGGTCAGGCTTTGTTTGCCCCAGGGCTCCAAGGCCAGTTCCGAAGGAGCCTCCTGCTAGTAGAACGGGTTGGCTGAGCTGACCAGTCCAGGTCCGGCCCTGCAGAGTACAATCTTGGCATCCAGTCGCCCCAGGCTGGCCTCCAGATCATCCGGATCCCTTGCTAGTGTCCACTGGGTGACAGGCAGCCCTGGCCAATGAGGTTTGTTTCCGCCAGTGCTCTGGCCCTGATCAAACTAACACCCACACCCGAAGCGTGGCAGGGTGGAGCTCCCTATGGGTCAAGGTGCTCAGGTAGGTGGGGAGGCCATGAGTGTCCCTCTTTACAGGTTCCAGGAAGGCTGGGTGATGAGTCCAGATGGTTGGCTTTCCATGCTGGGGACCCCACAGCCACTCCTTCCCTCTGCCTATGCCTCCTCCAGCTGAGACTTTCAGTATGCTTGCCTGGGAGTCTACAATGCGTATGTAGTGCCTCCTGGTGGCCAATGCGGCCCCTCACTCGGATGGACACAGCCTCGAGGAAGGGAGGTGGGCCCAGACAAGTCAACACGGCCAAGCCTTGCCTCAGTTTCCCCAGGCTGTTTTATCTCTCTGTTTATGGTTCCACAGAGGGTCTGGCCCCCCGGGGGTGGGGAGGGGGTGGGGGTTGCTAATCTCAGGTGGCTACAGGCCCTCTAACCAGGCCAGTGGGGACCTGGAAATCAAAGCCCAGTCAGCTCAGCTGCCCTGGTGTCAGATGAAGTACAGGTGGATCCCTGGCTTTCATTCATGGGGATGACCAGAGTCTGTTCGTGCCCAGTGGCCCTAGATCCCACGGTGGACCGTCCTAACGATGTGTGGACACTGTACCTCACACCTTCGGCCGACTGTGCCCCCCCCCAGCTCCTGTACCCCCCCCCCCAGACCCACCTCTTCAGTCTTCGGGGAATCTGTCGGGGCCTGTCCGTGCTTGACTTTGCCCCACAGCCAGATGCCAGGCTTGGGTGTGGACCTGGGGGCCCTTCCACTTTGAGATGGGCAAAGCCTTGCCCTGGGCCCGAGACCCTTTGTAGGAAGTAGGGACACAGGTGGAGACGGCTGGATGGGGGAGGGGGGGACGTGACGCTCTGATTCTTGGCAGCAAGTGTTTCCCCACCCTGTTGGTGTCGTGGGGCTGCGGTCTGGACACCATTCCATCCCTGAGCCGGCCCCACATGCACACACACTCACACCCACACAGCTCACCTCCTTGGTGGCTCTGGGCAGCTGGCAGGGGCCACTGGGCTGGTGCGTTGCTTTGGTTTCTCAGCACATACTCTGCAGTTTCCGGCCCGAGGAGGTCCCACCTCAGGGAGGTCTCCAGCCCTCCTCTGTCCTCCTCCTCAGCAGCTGGGGCAGCCCGGGCCCCGTGGACACTATCACTGCTGCCCGAGCATGGCTTCACGGAGGCCCTGAAACTCCTCCCAGTCCTGCCCGGCCTGCCTTGCCTGCCCAACAGCCTTGTTGGAACACACCCTTCGCCAGGCCACACCCTCTGCCATGCTGGGTTCTGGGACCGGCCTTTCTTTCCCTGACCTGGTCAAGGGTGTCCACAGGCCTAGTCCTTGGAGCTGCTGATGTCTAGACGGGTTTGTGACCATGAACCCATGAGACCAGTGGGAGCTGGTCTCCACGTCCAACTTGGGTTGGGCGTCACAATGCCAGTGACATGTATGTACTGAGGGGCGGGGATGACTTTCAGCTTTCCCCTCTATCCACACAGCTCTCTCTCTCTTCATCTCTGAAGCACCTGAAGGCACACCTCACTTCTAACCACTGATCAAGGTCACTTATATCTGTCACACGATGCTGGCAACAGGAGACATGGGCTAAGTAAGTGTCTACCATGGTTGTCCAGGCACACGGAAGAGCTTTGAAAGTGGGCGGGTCAGGGTGCTGTCAGAATCTTGTGTACTGGGACCAGCGAGAAGGCTCATGGATGACCTGAGTTTAGTCCTTGGGACCCACATGGTAGGAGAAAATTTCCTTTTTAACTGTCCTCCATATGTATACAATGGGACGTGCATGCCCACACATACAAATAAATGTAAAAATAAAGTAATAAAAAATCTTTGGTATGACCTTGAGGAGTTGTAGACGGGTCCTATTTGTGAGGTATGCCCAATGCTTCTCATGCTCTGGATGGTCCTGCTGGCTCTTTCTCTTGGAGGTCTCTCCCCACTTCCCTGCTCCTTCCAATCACCCTTTCTCCCCATGCCTTGGTTTGTGTTCAGCCGTCCATCATGATGGAGGCGTCTGTCCTCACCCTCCAGGCCCTTGTGTCTGTGTGGTGGGGATGGGCTTAGGGATCCATGTGGCCTTATATGCCGTGTCCACTCTGTGGTGGGCTCTGAGGCCTGGGGCATAGTTCTCTTCAAGCTCTCCTACCTGGGCTTGTATTTAAAGATTTCTTCCTCTTGAGTAGGGCTCTGGGGTCTTCCATCTTGCTGTCCTTGTAGATTCTGTTTATTCTCACCTCCAGCTGATCTTAGCACTCTTGGCCCTACAGAAAAGCCCTGATGTGTGATGGCAAACTGTAAGCCACACTGGTACTTCCCCTGCAGCCACCCTGTGCATCACGTGGGCTCCTGACATCACTCACCATTGCCCCCCCCCCCCCCGCTCCAGCTGCTCACTCAGGGCTTGTCTTTTCCTTTTTTGGTATGTGGTGTGTGTGCATCACGGGCAACTGCTTCATCTTCCTGGCTTTTTACATGGGTTCTGGAGATCCGAACTCCAGTACTCACAAGCTTGGTAAACCTTCATCCCAGTTCTGGGACTCTTGACTTCCCAGTCCTCGACCTCAAGCCAGTACAGCTCACTAGTGTGCCCTGTGTGCTGCTTATTGGTTATAGGGAGCAGGCTGGGGCTTGATCAAGCTCCCAGAAAGGCACCTGCAGGGACCCCCGAGGATGGCTACCTCAGGCTTCCCTTGATTGCTAGTGCCCAGTAAACTGCTGAGCAAGAACACATTGTCCTAGGCACTGGGGAGGCTGCTTGATCTCAGCGGAAAACTGCAAAAAGACCTCAGGATGGCGAAGGCACGCCCCTGGGAGGCAGCCTGCCCTGTAGCATGTGACAGGCAGAGTCATCTGTGTCCATGCTTTACATGTGCTAGGAGCTGATTACAGACCTAACTCAGGTGTACGCCACATGCAGCCCCCTCTCTTCACAGAAATACCTTTCACCCAGAAATCGCTGAGGCTGTGGATCTCTTCGGGGTGACAGTTTTCTCCTGAGTTATGGTGGCAGCAGAGGACAGAGGAAGCCCTGGCCAGGTCCCTTCTCCGGTAGAGCCTTGCTTGATATACACAGCAGATCTGGGCAAGGGGCACCGGCTTAGACGATTAAGGCATTTGGTATGGGTCTGTGTTTTATGGCTACCAGACAGCTCCAGACAGCTCCAAGCAGCTGTAAATACTGCCCAGCTTGGAGAGGGAGCCGGTTCAATTACAGGTCAGTTTCAGCGCCCCTTCCCAAGGCTGCAGGCAGCCTCTAGGCCTGCAGACAGAGGGAATGAAGCTGCTTTCATGTTCCCAGCTGTCACTTTTTTTTTAAATTTTACAATTCCATTCAGTTCTACATATCAGCCACAGGTTCCCCTATTCTCCCCCCTCCCACCCCCTCCCCTTACCCCCAGCCCACCCCCCATTCCCACCTCCTCCAGGGCAAATCCTCCCCCGAGGACTGCGATCAACCTGGTAGACTCAGTCCAGGCAGGTCCAGTCCCAGCTGTCACTTATATGGAATACACTCAGACCCTCCTGAGGATCAAGTGTCCCCATCACTTGCTTTTTGGGGGTAGTGGAGGACCCAAGGAGATGGCTGGAAAGGAAACTGCTTGAACCAGGACCAGAAGCCTGGAGGCAAAACCAGCATCCCTGAACCTTATTGGCTGATGGGGCCGACACTGATGACTGATCTGTTCAAGGGCCTGGTGGCCGGATGCTCCATCTACACTCAAATCCCATCTCTTCCATCTGGGAGCAGCTGCTGCGTGGCCTCTCTGGGGGCACAGGTGTCTGGAACAGGTTGTTGAAAGGGATGTAATGGGTCACCCGATGGGCCATTTGAGCTGGCTCCGTTGTCTGCTAAGGGACCAAATCAGAAAACCAAAGCCACAAACCTGAACTTGGACCTGGCCTCGAGCTCCACCCAGGGTGATCTCTATCTGCTAAGGCAGGGACGCTGGGACTTGCTGGTTGGTCATTCATCTGAATAATCACAGGCTGATACCAAACAGAGACCTTTGTACACACCACCCCACAGGGCTCTCCTGAGCATGCCCTGCCCTGGCTGGATCTGCCAGCTGTTTGTATACCACACTGGTCCTTCCTCTTTGTGGCCTCTGAGATTCCTGATGGTCCATGCTCTGCAGAGGCTGGTGGCAACTGGGATGATGGGTAAGAGGTTATAGAGGGGGCACCTGGGTGGGAGCTGGCAGACCCCAACACCAGTCCACCCTGGGGACATAAAGGAGAGGCGGAACTAGGGTCTGGGAAAGGATGGACAGAGCAAAGCTGTGTGGGAGAGCTGCCTGCCGGGGATGGGGGTGCAGACAGGGTGGTGGTTGGAAGCTGCAGCAGGCACAGGGCTCTCAGAGGCTTTGGGACACTCCTGTTGTAGGCAGTGATATCTCCTTCCAGAGGTCGGGCAGAACTCGCCACTCCCACCCCAGCTGAGCTGGTTTCAGCCTGCGGCCCTCCCCAGCCGTCTCTGGACCTCCACATGCATCAAGATTTGAGGCTAGCTAGTCCCGACTCACTCTAAGTGAACAGTGGCCACTCATGCTCACTGCCCACCACTGGACCTAGAGGGCGCTCCTGAACCTTTGATTCAGAGGCCAAGTGGGCAACTGCATCCCCATTCCCTGCAAAGGCACCAGTTTACACTCCACTCTGGATTTCTACTTGGCTTCTCTCTGGCCTCTTCTCCACTGGGGACTATCAGACTATCAGCAGATTCACTATGAGGCTTCAGAAATTCCCACGCAGCTGTGATCAGGACCCCCCCCCTCCCATCTGCTCCTGTGGCAGGAGACCCCAGGAGTCCCAGGATACCACCCTACAGAGGAATGGGCACCGACAGGTCAACTCTGGCACAAATGCCAGCCTAATGTCAAGGCCTAGTACTGGTCCCCCAACCCTTGCAGTGAGCTTTGCAAGTATTTCTAAAGGGGGGGGGGACCCCAACTTGATTCAGAACCCTTCCTCTTCTCTGAGCCCAGGTTCGATCTTTGGCCTCCTGCACCCTGCACTGACCCATGGATTTCCCATCCACCCCATCCTTAGGGAATCCATCTGCATGGCCACCCCTGGCTCCGCCTGCCACATGTCCAGTACCCAATGCTGGCTGAACTCATGCCTGGGACCTACCCCACACGCCAGCAACCATGTGCTGTGGTTTTGACAAACAGGTTTTCCTCCCACCTCAAGTGGCCTGAAGTGAACCTCGACACATGACCATAAGGTCTCAGCACTATTGACAAGGCTAGTCAGGCAGTTTAGATTTACTTTTAACGAAAAAGGCTCCCCACAAGTGCTGCTGCACACACACTGACGGCCGCCAGTCCCCAGAACTGGCTGCGGATTTCCACGCCGCAGGTGCCTCTGCTGTGGCCCAGACTCATTTCCAGGGTCTCAGGCGGAACACAGCAGCCACACGGGGAGAGTCCCCTGAGATCTGAATGTTGTTTCCGGCTTCAAGGGCTAAAGCCAGAGAATGAGCCTCCGCCTGACTGTCCTGGCGCTGGAAAGATGGGTCTCACAGACCCTGCCGAGCGTCCACCTGTCATGTCCGACTGTCATGTCCTGCTGACTGCAGGTCACCACACCTGGCACATCCGGATCACCTCCTTCAAGGCCTTCAGGCCCTCCATGCTCTTGTCCTTCACAGCCAGGGCCAGGAGGACGGCTCTGTTTCCTGCTTCTTGAGATACAAACGCTACCAGGTTCTTCGCAAAGACATGGATGAGAGGCTGGGGAAGTGGGGAGACAGGGCCATGAGTGCAGGAAACCTCACTTTTTTTTTCAAAGACAGGTTGTTAATTTCTGTAGCTCAGGCTAGCTTGGAACTCATGGTGATCTTCCTGCCTCAGCCTCCTGAGTGCTGGGATTCTAGGAATGTGCTATCATACCCAGTATTTTTGTTTGTTTGTTTTAAAGAGTGTGCGTATGTGCGGGGTATGAGGAGGCCTGAAGACAACCGGGTATCAGCCATATACCACCATTCATCTGCTTTGAGACAGGGTTTCTCAGTGACCTGGAATTCTCCAGACTGCATGACCAGTAAACCCCAGGATCCTTCTGCCTCTGCCGTCCCAGCACTGGGAATGTGTGCAACCATATCCACTTTTTTTCCTTTAATATTAAAACAAGGCCTCTCTATGTAGCCCTGGCTGGAACTTGCTATGTAGATGAGCATTCCCAGCACTCGGGAGGCAGATTGAGGCCAGCCTGGTCTAGAGTGAGTTCCAGGACAGGCACTACACGGAGAAACCCTGTCCCGGAAAACCAAAAAAAAAAAAAAAAGAAAAAAAGAAAGAAAAGAAAAAGAAAGAAACAAGAGCTCACTATGTAGCCCTGGTTGATCTGGAACTTGCTACTTTCATCTCCTAAGTGTCAAGACTAAAGATGTGCCCTGATACATATGACTATTTAGTCTCCACTTAAAACAAACAAACAAACAAACAAATACATTGTGTGTAGGAGAGAGAGTGAGTGAGTACAACTCGTGGCAGTTTGCTCTCTCCTTCGGCTGTGGGTTCAGGGAACTGAACATAAGCTTGTATGCCAAGTGCCTTTACCCCCCAGCTATCTCAATGCTCCCTGCCTTTTTTTTTTTTTTTTTCCTCTTTTCTTTTTTCCTGAGACAGGGTTTCTCTGTGCAGTTTTGGCACCTTTCCTGGAACTCACTCTGTAGCCCAGGATGGCCTTGAACTCACAGAGATCCGCCTCCCGAGTGCTGGGATTAAAGGTGTATGCCTGGCGCCCCCTGCCATTTTAATAGAGAGTCTCATGTAGTCCACGCTGGCCTTATGTAGCTAGGAATGAAACTGAACTCCTGGCCAGGTGGTGGTGGCACACACATTTAATCCCAGCCCTTGGGAGGCAGAGGCAGGTGGATCTCTGTGAGTTCGAGGCCAGCCTGGTCTACAGAGTGAGTTCCAGGACAGCCAGGACCACACAGAAAAACCCTGTCTTTAAAAACCAAAAAAGAAAAAGAAGTTGTAGAAACTGAACCCCTGAACCTCTTGCTCCCTTCCAAGTGCTGGGACCACACTAATGTGCCACCATACCAAGTGGCTTTTGGGTTTTTTGTTTGTTTTTTTGAGACAGAGTTTCTCTGTGTAGCCCTGGCTGTTCTGGAACTTGCTCTGTAGACCAGGCTGGCCTTGAATTCGAAGAGCTCTGCCTGCCTCTGCCTCCCTAGTGCTGGGATTAAAGGCGTGCACCACCGCCCAGCTGTTTTTTTTTTTTTAATATTTATTTTTGTGTATATGGATGATTTGCCTGCCTATATGACTGTGTTCCATGTTTGTGCAGTGTCCACAGAGGAGGGTGCTGGATCCTCTAAGACTGGAGTTATGGATGGTTGTGAGCCACTGTGTGGGTGCTGGGAATTGAAACCAGGTTCTTTAGAAGAACAGTTGGTGCTCTTATCTGCTGAGCCACCTCTCTAGCCCTGGTTTTGGTTTTCTAAGGGGGGGAGAGGAGGGTCTACACCTAGCTGGCCTCGAACTCACTACATAGCTCAGTCTGATCACACACTTGTAGCAACCCTTCCGCCCCAGTCTCTCAGGTGAGAGGACTACAGGCATTCACAATCATATGGGCTCAAACAGTATTTTCCCAATGCTCTCCTTAAGCACCCACCAGGGATCCAGACCAGCTTCCCACATCTTCCCTAAATCACCTCCAGGGAAGCTAAGGCAACAGTGATTCAGAGTGCTGAGTGGACTGCGCCCAGCAGGCATAACAAACTGCTGATGAGGCATCATTAAGATTTTCCCTTGGTGCCTCTGCATACCATCTCTCCTGTTACCCCTAATCCAGACAGACATGCCTGCAAAGGGGAATGTGGTCAGGACTCAAGAGGCAGACATAAACATAAGCCTTCATTAACATAAAGCCATCAAGACGGGGTCACACTGAGCAGACGGCTGTGTCACAAAATCAATACCTCCACTGAGCGCTGAGTAAAAATGCTGACACGCTGGAGAAGCATCACTAGGGGCCGCCAGGGCACCTCAGATCTGAAAGGTCCTGGAGAATGCTGACTGTGCCCTTGGGTGTGTATGGAGGGGCGCCTATCAGACACCCCACGGACAAATGACACCTGGAAAGATTCTTCTCCCATCCCTTTACCTCGTCCTGCCCGAGGAGGACTTTTGTGGTCAGCACTGGCTTGCTGATGTCATTGGCCACATTGCTGGGCTCCAAGGAGACTAGTGTACCCATCTTCCCAAACTGGGTCACCACAACCAGGATGTGGCTGCTGAAGGCCGTGCAGATCACCTGGGTGGGCACGCCACATACCACTTCTGTCTTCTGTTTGGAGACTACCACTGGTTTGTCTTCCATGGTCCCGTCCTTCAGTTTTAAAGACAAGAAAAGAAGGGAGGAAGCAGTCAGAGTCAGATACAACCTGGAGCGCCACAGCAGAAATGTCAAGCAGCCCATTCCAAGCTGCAAGGGGTGGCACATGCCTGCCATCCCAGCACAAGGGAGGCCGGGGCTGGAGAATCCCGAGTTCCAGGCCAGCCTGGGTTACCTGGGGGAGATGCTATCTTCTATCTTTTTTATTTTATTTTTTATTTTTTTTTAGGGAGGAAAGACTTTATTTGGCTTACAATTCCACATCACTGTTCATCATTAAAGTCAGGATAGGAACTCACAGTGGGTAGGAACCTAGAGGCAAGAGCTGATGCAGAGATCATGGATGCTTACTGGCTTGCTCCCTATAGCTTGCTCAGCCTGCTTTCTTAGAGAACCCAGGACCACCAGCCCAGAAGTGGTCCCAGTGGGTTGGGTGCTTCCCTCTCAATGACTAATTAAGAAAATTCCCTGGAGGCATTTTCTCAATTAAGGTTCTCTCCTCCTTGATGAGTCTAGTTTGTACCAAGTTGACATAAAACTAGCCAGGACAGGCATTCTGCTAGAGAATGGATAAATTGTGATATTCCAACACAGACCAATATACAATGAGTGAATTAATGAATGTGAATAAAATATTTTTCACTTGGATAAATCTTACAAACTAGACTGAGTGAAGATAAGAATAAATAATCACTAACATATTAAGACAAATTATACAGGGCTGTGGGTAATAATCCCATATAATCCTAGCATTTAGGAGACAAAGGCATCCAGTTCTCTGTGAGTTTGAAGCCAGCCTGGTCTACATAGTGAGTTCTAGGCCAGCCAGGACTACAGAGTGAGATTCTGGGGAGACGCTATCTTAATGCCCCCCGCCCCAACTCAAAACCAAGTGTGCACATGCTCAGACAGGCTTATGTTAGTGTCTTTGTCCAGCCACGCTGCCTGCGATTACAGCCCATCTCCCGCCCCGCAGTCTCCTACTTGTAGATACCAGGGAGAAGGGAAACGGCCGAGCTCACCGGGGAACCCCGACCGCGCAGGCGGGGACGGTTGGGGCACTACCGACTACAGCCGGGTCCAAAACCCGCAGCAACCAGCGCTCACCGCATCAACCGCGCCAAAAAGGAATATGGGTAAACAACGGAGCCGGCTCACACTTAGCAGAAGCGCCGGTCCAGAACTTCCGGTTCCGGTCCTTGGTTCTGTCCGTGGGTCGCCGCAGTCCCAGAGCCTTAGGTTCCGCGCTGCAAAGGAGACGACACTGTGCCGCTAGGTCTAGGAGCTTCAGGACCCCGGGGGCGGTGCTTGAACCCCAGTGTAGGGGCTTTTGTGTCCCAGCTGTGGAGTGGGATGGCCATAATAGTTAATATTTCTTTTCTGTTCATTTTTGGTTTTTCGAGACAGGGTTTACTTCTGTGTAGCCAGGCTGGTCTCGAACTCAAGAGATTCTCCTGTTTCTGCCTCCCAAATGCTGAGATTAAAGGCGTGTGCCACCACCGCCCGGTTTATATTTATTTATTTTTTTAAAGATTTATTTATTTATTATGTATACAGTGTTCTGTCTGCATGTATCCCTGCCTGCCAGAAGAGGGCACCAGATCTCATTATAGATGGTTGTGAGCCACCATGTAGTTGCAGGGAATTGAACTCAGGACTACTGGAAGAGCAGCTAGTGCTCTTAACCTCTAAATCCTTCTCTCCAGCCCCGATATTTATTTTCATTTGGTGTGTACCTGGCTTTGGCTAAGGCACCATAATACCATTATATATATATATGTATATATGTATATGTATATGTATATCTATCTATCCATATCTATATCTATCTATCTGTCTATCTATATAAAACTTGTTTTATTTATTTGTTTGTTTTTTAGAGACAGGGTATCTCTGGTTACCAGGGTAGCCCTGGTTGGTGTGAACTTACTATGTAGACCAGACTAGCCTCGAACTCACAGAGATCTCCCTGCTTCTGCCTTTGAAGTTCTGGGATTATTTATATTTTTCTTCTTTTTTGAGACAGGGTCTCAAGTAGCCTAGGTTGGCCAAGGATGACCCTGAACTCCTGATTCTCCTGCTCCACCTTCCAAGTGCTGGGATGACAGGCACACACCACCATATGTGGTTAATGTGGTGTGGGGATGAAATCCAGGAGTTTGGCTGGGTGTTGGTGGCACGCACCTTTAATCCCAGCACTTGGGAGGCAGAGGCAGGCAGATCTTTGTGAGTTTGAGGATGGTCTGGTCTACAGAATGAGTTTGAGGACAGCCAGGGCTGCAAAGAGAAATCTTGTCTCGAAAAACCAAAAACCAAACTAAACCAAAACAAAAAGCCTCAGGAGTCTGTGCAAACTAAGCAAGCACTCACCAACTGAGCTAAGTCTCAGCCCCCATTTAATCTTTTTCCTCCTTCTCTCTGTTTTCCATTTCCTTCCTTCCTTCCTTCCTTCCTTCCTTCCTTCCTTCCTTCCTTCCTTCCGGGCATTGGGGAACAAGTCTACTCATTTACATTAGGTATTGCTCATCTTACAGAATACTTTAAAAATTAAATGGTATTTATTTGTTTATTTATTTTTTATCTGTATGAGTATTTTTGCCTGCCTGAATGTATGTGCACCAAGTGCATGCAGTGCCCTTATAGGCCAGAGGAGGGCGCCGATTCCATGGAACTGGAGTTACAGACCATGTAGGTGCTGGGAATCAAACCTGGTCCTTTGCAAGAGCGGCAAGTGCTCTTCACATTGGACCATTAAATTAAAACAATTTTTTCTTAAAAGTATAGATTTCAGGGAGCTGGAGAGATGGCTCAGTGGTTAAGGGTACTGGCTGCTCTTCCAGAGGAAAAAGGAGAAGGAAGAAAAAGATTAAATGGGGCTGGGATTTAGTTAAGTTGGTGAATGCTTGTTTAGTTTGCACAGACTCCTGGGGCTTTTTGTTTCTGTCCTTCCTTTCTTCCTCCCTCTTCCTTCCTTCCTTCCTTCCTTCCTTCCTTCCTTCCTTCCTTCCTTCCTTCCTTCCTTCTTTTTCTCCTCCTCCTCCCTCTTCTTCTGAGACAGGTTCTCACTGTGTAACCTTGGCTGGCCTGGAACTCATTATGTAGAGCAGGCTAGTGTCAAACTCAGAGATTCACCTGCCTCTGCTGAGGTTAAAGGTGTGTGCCACCACATCTGGCTACACCTTATTTCTTATTTCTTTCCTTTTTTTTTTTTTTCCGAGACAGGGTTGCTCTGTATAGCTTTGTGCCTTTCCTGGAACTCACTCGGTAGCCCAGGCTGGCCCACTCACAGAGATCCACCTGCCTCTGCCTCCCAAGTGCTGGGATTAAAGGCGTGCGCCACCACCGCCCGGCACTACACCTCATTTCTTGAGGTAGGTAGGCTTTCGTTTCCCCTGGTCTAGAGCTCACTAGTTAGGCTAGACTGGCTGCCAGCAGGCCTGGGCATATGCCTGTCTCCACCTCCCCAGTGCTGGGGTTGCAGGCTGTACCAGATCTCCAGGCTTTTAAACATGGCCTCTGGGGATGGAACTTTGGATTTTGTGCTCGCAAGGTAAGAACTTCACTGACAGTCATCTCCCTTGCCCACCTCATTCTGTGTGTATGCTTCATGCCTTTGTTGTTGTATACCTAGATCATTTCATCTTTGAAACACCGTGAGCCCTCTTGGAGAACAGAACGTGCAAATTCGTGGTCTGACCCCACCTCGACCTTCCCTGATGTTCAACTTGATGCCCGACCCTGTTCCCTGACCCTTGCTGAGACTCAGAGGATACCTGAGCCTGGGCCACTGACCCTCACCAGGTCCCAGCTAATGCCTCAAACCCCTGACCCTCCTGAGACTCAGGGGAAAACAGGAGGAAGCCTGTGTACTGCAGGGTGAGTTTTGCATCCAAACCAGAAAGCTCCACCATCTCCCTGCTGGAGGTTTCACTGGCTGGGAAAGTCATGGGCAGATATTGGGAGAAACTGCAGCCTCAAGACCCTTTCCCAGATGCTGATAGCCCCCAAAACCCCTTTCGGAAGCCTTTCTGGGCACTCTGCTGACGGCCCCAAAAAAGCCTCGCTTCTGCTTACACACTAAAGTCCTTAGACAGCTCAGGCATTCTTCTCAATAAATTCACTCCCTCCTTCCTTGAGTTAATGACTTCTTATCCAAGCTCCATCGAGTCGTATGAAGCTTGCTTCCAAAATGATTTCTTGGTGGTGTAAAAGAAAAGGCATGCATACAAAGCATGATGGGAATAGACACAGATCGAGAGGAAACTCGTTTCTGAGCATTCTCACAGTTGGCACGTGAAGGGGGAAGATTAGGGTTTCATGGCACTAATACTCAAGAAGCAAGGAGCGTATAGATTTCTCAGCAAAGTCTTTTTGTCGGTTCTAAATTTAAACACGCATCCGCCCACACACCGCAAAAGCAAATTGCTGGCGTCAAAAATTGCTGCCTAGAGAAATCTTCAAAAGCTTTTGATCCACCTTGTTATGCATTCTCTCTCAGAGAGACTGGGGTCCAGGAACCCAGCCTCCCCAGCTCGTGGAAACCCTGGGAACACAGTGATCACCTTTGCAAGGTGGACCGCGTTCTGGCCACATAAGCAGCTCGGTGAGGGGTTGACTTAGGGCTGGTTTGGATCTTGATCTGTTGATCAAGTCAGCAGGAAAACAGGGAAAAGGTTGTGCTAGGCTGACGTGCTGTTGTTTCAGGGAGGGGACTTCCCCATGGCTTAAATGGATGTCTGGGCGGGGCTCACACAACCAGGGCTCAGTGGGAAAAGCACTCTCTGTGCCAGCGTGAGAACCTGAGTTCAAATCCTCGGAACCCATGTAAAAGCCTGCTGTGGTAATGTGTGTTTGTGATCCCAGGGCGTTTAGAGAGAGATGGGCAGACAGGGAAACCCCCTGGAAGCTCAAGAGCCAGCTAGTGTGGTGTGTGTGGCAGCAAATGAGAAACCCTGCCTCAAACAAGATGGGAGGTGAGGATCAATGCCCGAGGCTGTCCTCTGACTTCTATGTGGGCTGTAGCATGAGACCCTCCCCATCATACACATCAGACACACATCATACACAAAGATAATTTTTTTTTTTTTTTTTTTGGTTTTTTCGAGACAGGGTTTCTCTGTGTAGCTTTGCGCCTTTCCTGGAGCTCACTTGGTAGTCCAGGCTGGCCTCGAACTCACAGAGATCTGCCTGCCTCTGCCTCCCAAGTGCTGGGATTAAAGGCGTGCGCCACCACGCCCGGCCACAAAGATAATTTTAAATAATGGAGTTATCTCATTTCTTGTTTGGCTGTTCTTCAGTGTGTGTTAGAGGGGTTATTGCACTGGAAAGAAAGACGCTCCCCACCCTTTATTTTATTTTCGAGACAGCATCTTACTGTGTAGCCCTGGCTGTCCTGGTTCTCGATTTGTAGACCAGGGTGGCCTCGAAATCATCACAGAGATCCACCTGCCTCTGCCTCTCTGGTGATGGACTAGAAAGAAAGACCCTTAAGTAGATACATTTAAAATAGCAGTCTTTGGAGCTGGAGAGACGGTTCGGCGACTATGAGCACTTGATGCTCTTGTTCTCGTGAGTTTGGGTCCCAGCACCAACGGAGGGTGGCTCCAAACCACCTGTAACTCCAGCTCCAGGGAATCTGATGCCCACCTATGGCATTCACACACACACACACACACACACACACACACACACACACACACACACACACACACAAATGACAATTATAGTGTGAGTCTGAACTATCTCCTTTATGCTCAGGAGGTGTTGTGGAGCCTTAAGGAGGCAGAGCCTGGCTGGAGGAAGTGGGTCACCGAGGGTGGCCTTGAGGCTTTATAGACAGACTCCAATTCCCCTGCTCTGCTTCCTGAGTATTGCATGCAATGTGACCAGCCAGCCCCCTCCCTACAGTGGGCTCTATCCCTCTGGAACTGTGAGCCAGAATTCCTCTTCCTTCCTCCACTTGCTTTATGACAGCAACAGAAAAGCCAGATAAGAACCAATGGAATTAACAGTGCCAATGCGAGGCTAAGAGTGTTACTGAGGCCAAGTGTGGTAGTGCATACCTGTACTCAGCACCTGGGAGGCTGAGGCAGGAAGATGGCAATTTTGAGGCTAGCCTGGGCTATGTCGTGAGACCCTGACTGACAAGAACA